CGATTTTTCTTCAAGTTGGTCATTTTTGTTTGATAAATAGAGGGCAACGGAGTGAAATGTGCATTGACTTTTGCACCAATAGTAACTTTGGATTTCATCTTGAATCACAAAAGTGAAGTTTTCTGCAAAGTTATCTAAGACAATACAGCAGTTTTTTGCTGAATTTTCCTTTTGTTGCTTTAGGTATCTTGATTGACATTTTGCAATGTAGGAATGAGCTGTTAACTTGTTTATTGCCTCTGATAGCATCAATTTGTATTCTTCAATTGTTTTTGTCTAATAGATCAATGTTGCTCTGTCTGTTTTCTGCCACTGATTGAATGACACCTACTCATCATTGTCATTGTCAATTAGTTGTGCGTTCAGAAACTTCTTTAAAGAAACTATACCTGGACAGTTCGGATATCGATGAACCATGCACTCTTTACTTGTCACATCACAAACAACTTTTGTCATCATATCTCATTTTTATTTGTATAACTTTTGTCATCATATCTCATTTTTATTTGTATTGGTCAAGAGTATTGCATTTTGCTGGAGGGTACATACACAAACAGAATGAGTGCCTGATACTCCAACATTCATACACCATTTTGGTCTTAAACTGCAAAACTTAGAAAATCTAATAACTTCTTGAGGATATTTAGTTTTAAAAGAAACATAAAGTTCTTTAAGATTACATTAAATAAAGCGCTTTTGGATGTGTTGTTTTCTACCAATGCTTATGTAATCTTTTTTACCAGGCATTTGTCTAGTAAATTCTTCATCATGGTATATATTGTTGACTCTATTTAATGTTATTTCTGAAAATGTTTTTCTTTTCTTAGTGCCTGGAACTGAAAAAATCCCACTTATTTTCTTTAGTTTGCGCGCTTCTTTATTTTGGTATATAGTGAGGTTGAAATATCTTCCAGCAAAATTTCTTGACCAAGACTTGGGTGTAAATGTTAACAACTGAATTTTAGTTTTTTGGTCAGAAACAATTAACTTTTCTTTTATTTCTGCTGTTAGTTTGTTTAAATCATCACATTTACTTTTGTCAATAATTTTCGTATGAGGAATTTTATGTTTCAGTTCTTCTTCCCTAACATTATATACTTTTGAAATATGCTCTTCATACTTTGACATTATTTTTATAACGCTACTTTTAGCAACAGATAGCCGTTGATGCTTTGGAATGCCATGAAGTTTTATGGGGGATACACCTATTGTTTCCAAACTAACATTTAATGCCTCTCGTGACTTTTCAGAAGTAGCACATGAAATAGATTCCTCAAATTCACAATTATCTTGTTCATGAAATTTACTGATTATAGCATCAAAGCAGCTCTGACAAAGTTGATATCCAGGCACAACATTTGGAAAATTAATTCTCAATTGTTTTGCCATATCTAATGTTATTACATGACTCCCTGAAAAGAAAAGAACAATTTGATTTTAGTAATTACCTATGAATATGAAAATTACTTGTACTTATTTCAATATATATTGCATAACCAGATCAGTTTTTTTTCAAATTTTTATAAACTAGTAGATTTTAATTTTATTATTCAAAAAAGATTTTACAATAACTTTTTATCAACAATATTTACCTTTGATTGCTTTTTTTTTGATTTATGCTTGACCAATAAATTACAACATTGTGTGTGCTTCTTTTCAAAGTGTATACCAAAAATCTTTTCATGATGAAGGGAGATTGTTAAAATTTTATCATCTGTTATTTTAGATCTCCAAATAAATTCTTCTCTGGCATCATCTCTATAGCAATTAAATTTCTTTAAATCAATCTTTCTACAATAACTTAGTTTATGACAAGTATCATTTAATTTTTTTTTAAAATCACATGAATCCATTCTTACTGTAACACTAAAAGCATTTTGAGATTAGTTTAAAAATGAGAAACCAATAGTAATTAATTCAATGAAAGCAGCTTAAGCAAGCGCCATGGTAATACAAAACTAAACAGTGATTGATTTCTTTTATCTAACTTTGACAAAAAGAAAGTTTCCATTTCACAAAGTTTAATTATAATCAATTTGTTAATGTTAAAAATGTTAATGATGACTTTAATAGGTAACAAATTTCTTCTATACTAGTGTAATGACAGGATGTTTTTTGTTACTGTGAATAGTTCTTATTTAATAAAATAACTTGCTGTTAACATTTTAGAATTAGCAAATATCAAATAAAAAAATGATTTTGAAAAATTGATAAATTTCTTTTTTATCCATGTAATGTTATGACAGGATGTTTTTTTCTGTTGGAAGTTAATTAAACAACTTGCTGTTACCATTTTAGCATTAAAATATATTAATCTTTTTTAATTAAAATTTTAAATTATACAAAATAAAATTCTGTTAAAACCATTATTTTAGACTGTTTTTAATCTTATACATGCAAATCAAAATTCTTATAAACATTAACTTTCTTAAAATATTTTAAGAAAGATCAATGAACATAGAATGATCAAAAACCAAATTGAACAAATATAGATCACAAAAATTTGTAAAGCAATGTTATCAAAGATATGCTTAACGTTGTAAAATATTAAAATATAAAAGGCAATAGTTTCAAAGTTATCTTAAATGTGTTAAAGAAAAAAAAAAAAAAATTTTTTTTGAGAAAAAAAGCGGGGCATGGTCCCCAGTGCCCCAGCCCCATGGACCTTCTGGTCATCTGACCTGAAACAATTTTAATGCATGTTCATTAGGACTACACAAATGCTGAAAGTTTCAAAACTCCCGCTTGTCTGGAAGATACTGAAAAATCTATCTCAAAATTCCGGTCAAAAAAGTGGGGCACATCCCTACTGCCCCCTCCCCTAGTGTTTCCTGGGCCCTTTTTTAATTTTAAAATGCACATTTATTGACACTACATAAATACCAAAATTTTCATTGTTCTAGCTAGTCTGAAAGGTAGTGAAAAATGTATGGCAAGATTCCGCTACAAAATAGTGGGGCCTGTGCCCCGTTAACCATATATGGAAATTCATATACTTGCAGATCAAAATTTTTATGTTTTCTGAAAGATCATTAAACATAGAATAATGTGTACAATTTTTTTTTTTAATATCATCAAGGCCACATGGCTTTCTTGAGCATCAAAATCAGGTATATAGAAAATTGCCTAAATTTATTTAAATTGATAATTACAGGTACTTAAAAATATTTTTTTACATTTCTGATTATTTCATTGGATTCTTCAACCCTGAAAATAACTAGGTACAAATTTTTAAGTCAAAAGATTAAATATTTTTAGAGCTATGTGACTTGGAACATTTAAACAAAGGTCAAATTTCTAAGGGGAAAAGAGGGGCCTGCCCAAGATCAGTTAAAAGTAAAATGATCATATTTCATGATCCTCTTGGAGCTAGAAGCTAAAATTTTCAAGGATTTTTTGTTTTACTAAGTACTCTCAACTGTATAAAAATCAGCAAAATCTGAGATGTATGGTGACATGACCTGGCTCAATTGACATGGAATTACCCGACACCGCTAAATTAAATTTATAGTTATTGAGCGTTAAATCTTTTTCAATTTTTCCAATTTTTTTTTCAATTTCAAATTTCAGTTGAAAAAATATCCGAATAAAAGAATTTAAGAGAACTAAAATTTTTTTTTTCAAAAAGATTTCTTTTAAATAAATTCCTAAAAAGTTGGTATTTTTTTGAAAAGTTTTGATCTTGATATCGCTTTATATAAAATATACAAAAATGTAATCCCATTTTTTAATTCTATTTAAGATTTTTTTATAAAATTTTTTTTAGTTAAAAGCTTATATTTTGTGTTAACAACATATAAGATATAAACTGAAACATTTATATGGTTACTTTTGTGATTTGTGATACATGTTTACTCCTTGGCGCAACTATTTATTTACTTGAAAGAACTATTTTGTTAAAAACTTTTAAATAAAATAGCTAATAAAGGATTTCAACATATTTAGTACATTTTATTTTAGATTGCTAATCAACTTGTAGTTTCTAAGTGTTGTGTAATCATTATGGTATGAGATTAAGTCTGCTCATAATGTGGTGTGAATTGCAAACTGGTAATTATATAGAACCTAGGTCTTGTGACCTACATCTCTGGAAATGACTTAAAGAAATCATTTTAACTTTTGAAGATTTATTTTTATATTTTTTAATTCTTTTATAAAAAAGATTACTTAACATATAATAAAATATTTACATATATTGATATAATGATATAAAAATATTTAATAAAATGTCTGATCCACATTTATTTAAGAATAACTTAATTAAACTTAATAGTCAAGTAACTGTAAGTGAAGTAAATTACAGTTACATAACTAACAGGTTGTTTTGAATTAGTTTAAAGGTAAATTTACTTGTGATGTACTTTATCCATTCAGTAAATCAAACTAAATTTATCTATAAAATAACATTGGCTTCCACACAGAGATTTAAAGTAATTTAAATTCAAAAGCCCTTTATGTTGATTAAAATCTCAATGAAAGAGTGCAAAAATCACACTTTTATTCAAAAGATAAATTTAGCGTGAGGTACTTTATGATCCCTAATAAAAAACTTAGAGAAAAGCATTACTTTCAAAAATGGCCAAAAAAAAAAGCTAAATTAGAATAAAAAACTTTAACAAAAAAACTAACAAATCACGAAAATATTTAAAAAAAAAACTAATCGCAAAGGTGTGAAAAGCAAGCACAGTTCTTGATCACAATATGCTTAATTCTAGCTCTCTCTCTCTCTCTCTCTCTCTCTCTATATATATATATATATATATATATATATATATATATATATATATATATATATATATATATATATATATATATATATATATATATATATATATATATATATATATATATATATATATAATAAACAATAAGGTTTAAGATCTGCACTACTTTAAGATATACAAAAAAACTTATCTTTGCCTTTTAATTCTAGAAAAAAAAAGTTTTTTTTTTGTGGTATTATCTTACGATATAATATATAAGCATAGTATAAATGATACCTTTTAAATAAAACAACAATAACAGCCACAATTATGATTATACATAATGCAGTACCAGAAACAGCACCAATAACACTTATACTGGAGCCTTTTGTTGCTGTCCTTTCTTTGCTTGTTATTGTAGGTAATGTTGTTTCAGGAATTACTTAAAAATAAAACAAACAATAAATCAAAAACAAATTTATTTCATTTCAAAATTTAAATCTAAAATTTACTGAGTCTAAAATGATACTGAACAACATATAATGGCAACTGATTACTTTTCATAATCAATTTGAATTTGAATTTTGTTTTGCTTTTGAATTGTTGCACCTCCTTCCTTATAAAAGTGTTATAAAACTTGCCCAGAGGTAACACAGATCTCTAGCGTCTGAGGTAAGCATGCTTACCACTAAGCTGTGGCTGCTCAAAAAGGAAAATCATATTTCATTAAATAAATATTTTGACATTATAAAAAAAACAGTCACCATAAATTTCCCTCATTCCAAAGAAAATCGCGCTTTAAGTTGAATAACTCTGAATCTTGAATAACTCATTTTCACTGTCACTGTCTGTTTCTGCCAGTTAACCACAGTTAACTAGCAGAAATTTTAGCTTCAAGTATCAAGTATCAGTGGGTTGCAGCCTTAGTAAATGCTCCCCAATTAATTGAACTGGAAGCTTGTAGTGCTTTTTTACTATTTAGCAATGCAAATTTTTTATACAGATGTGTTTTAAAATATCTATTATACAGGTGTGTTTTTAAATAGCAGCAATTCAAGGACGAAACATTGTTTAGTAACCCCTAATTTTTTTCACCAATATTTATTATTTTATACCCCTCCATTATAATAAACGAGCTATTTTTTGTCTTTAAAAATACCACAGTTTTTATTAATTTAAAGGTGGCAACCCTAGCTGTACTTTACAAATTTGATAATTCTTTTAAAAACTAAAATGAAAAAGTTGACAAACCCAAGAAAAAAAATTGATTTAAAACATCAAGCAACGAAAATTAAAACAAATAAAAGTTATTTACAGTCCTTGCACACAAATTCAATTGTTTTGTGATATCTTATAATACATGAAATACACAATCAGTTTGAATTCTTTTCACATGAAACCTACCTGCAGCTTGTAGTATCATCCCAAAGGCCTCTGCAAGAAAAACAATGACGATTGACCTGATAGTGATTACATCTAGTAGCAGGAAGATACTCAATTTTTTGAGTAATAGATATTTTTTGTCTAGTTTTTTTTTTCTTTAATATCTTTTTTTTTTTCATCTAGTCTTCTTTTTTTAACAGCTTGAGCTTTGTCCTGAGCCATGTTGTTCTTTTAATTGTTGTTCAATTGTTTATTCACAGAGTTTTTTGAAACCAATTCAGTAGTATTACCTGAAACTTTTGATTACATGAAACTTTTGTTTTTATGAAAAAATAATTTTCATTTGAAACTTTTATATTATTTTTTGTTATTTTAGATTATTTTTTGTTGAATTCAAAAATTTTATTCATTTGAAAGTTTTTTTTTTTTTTTTTGTTGAATTCAAAAATTATTTGATTTGATTTGCTGTTTATGGTCGCTGCATATTACTTGTTTTTTATTATATACTGATATTATTAAATACTTATTAAAAAACTTCTACATTTTTAAAAAACTTAGTGATTTATAGCATGTTAGTTTTAGCTGCAATATAAATTTAGAATATGAAAAATGATCAAATTTAAAGGTCTTTAGTGTTAATTACTATTTTTTTTTGGGTTTCCAGAAAAACAATTGTCAATTTTGTCATTTGTTAAATTTTGAAAAATGTAAAAATAAAATTGCAGTTTTTTGTTGAGTTATTTTTGAACAATTGAATGCAAAATTGCCAGTATTTTCAAAACCACTACTTGCATTTTCTGCTTTAAAGCCATTATTTGCAATAAGTTCTTTTAACATGTCAGGAAATTGTTGGCTACTCATACTTAAATAAAAATTTCTAACCAAGTAAACTTCTAGAATCTGCTTCCATTCTGCTTTTACAGTCTTAAAAACTCCAACAATTAATGGCTGCAAAAAATGACTTGTGTTAACTGGAACTCAGAATAAAATTATGTTGTTTGATTCAGATAATCTTTTAAACTCAAAATTAATGTGAGATGCATGACCATCTAATTTAATAAAAGTTTATACCCTTGTAGTTTGGTTGTGTAAATTAAAAAAAGAATAAAACCATTCAATAAATCTTCCGCTTTACATGTAAGCTGATTTGCTGGTAGAATAATAAACACCAGAAGTTCCACCTTGAACTCAAGCTTTCATCAAACTTTGACCTTTGTAAATGATTTAATGTGTTAGAAAATTTCCAAAAGCATTGCAACAAGTTAAAATTGTAGTAATTTGTTTTCATTTTTTGGGGCGAGTTGTTTTGGATTTTTCAACCCTTTTCAACAAACAATATTGACACCACTCTTACAGCTTGCATGCTAGTAGCTTTTCTTTCACAAATAATTTTTGAATATTTCCTCATGAAACCATAACACCACATGTGAGTTGGTTTACCGGCCTTAAATAAATAAGTTTGTTTAGATTTTTTCAAATACTTTTCAACCACAGTTAAATCAACAATAAGCCTCTCTGTTACTTAGCTAATTGCTCTTGGCCTACCAACACCAGCAGTTTCATCTCAAAAATATAATTGTTTAAGGAATACTATAGCATAAAGCAGCTTCTAAATATGGTATTTTCTTATTATTGATGGCCTCATTTCAAAGTTTATTTTTTCTTTTGCAACCTTCCCTTTTGACTTTTTTGCTTAAGATTTTTAAGTTAAGATAAACAAGAACAATAGAGTTTTAAAGTTCTCAAGTAGTGCTTATTGGAGTGCAAAACTCTTAGATGAGTTCTCCTGAAGACAAATGAAGAAACAAGTACTGTTAGTGATATACTCCAGGCAATCAACTTAGCTATAAATATAAAATCTATTAATCGTCTGACTAATTTAAGCCGTACATCTGCATATTTTATAAAAAACAACCTTCCTGATCCTATAATAGTAGAATTTGACTCAATAGATGTTCGTAATAAGGTAATCTCCTCAGCAAAAAAAGTTATGTAACACAAAATATAAAGAAATCTTTATCCAACCTGATTGCACTCCATCAGAGCAAGCAAACTTCAATAAGCTATATGCTGAAAAAAAAACATGAACAGCTTAAATCCAATCTAAAACTTGATTAGCCCCTTCGATATGTTGTTTGTGGAGATATCATTCGCTGTACCTTTGTCATCAAAACAATTTCAATTCCTGGAGTTGATAATCATCCCTTTATGGAAATCATATAATGTATCAGCTGCACACCCAACAATTCAAAAAAACTTCTGTCAGTTATCTAAACTGCTTTTATACCAATGCTACATCATTGAACCACTAAAAACTTCAAGAGCTTTTTCTAGCTGCTAATAATTTTGAATATGATGTCATATTTATTACAGAATCTTGGTTTAATAAAATTTCAGCACCTTTTCCTAATTACAATATTTACAGAAAAGATCGACCTACTCACGATATTGGTATTGGGATATATGTATATATATATTGGTGGTGGTATTGCAATATATGTAAAAAATTATAGCATAAATGAATGCACAAAATATAAATTGCATAAAGGAATTAAACATTCAGAACAATTCTGAACTTATACTAAATAAAGAATCACTTCTTATAGGATGCATTTATCGCCCACCAACTAGCAGCACATCAGCCTTTAACAAATTTGCTAGATCCATTGCATATTCAAAATCTCTTATTGAAAACAAAAATTTTAAGGCTTATTTTTACTGGTGATTTTAACTTTGCAAACATTAAGTGGAACAAAGGTTGGTTAAATACAACTAGTGATAAAACCAGTTTTGGACGCCAAAATTGCTAATATTATTTTTGAACTCCACCTCTATCAATATGTAATCAAACCAACTTTTACACAATCCAATGGTTCTTCAAAAAATACACTCGACCTAATAATCAATGAATCCGTTGATCGAATCAATGAGATATTGGCCCACCTCTAGGAAATAAATCATGAGGTCACTGCACTTTGCCCTGGCAGTATCAGTTATCTAATATTACTATCAGCAATAATTTCTCCAGAAGTTCTAAAATTGCACACAATAAAGGGAATTACAATGTATTTAATGATTATCATTCCAATTTGGAATGGAAAAAAGATTTTGAAAATTTAAATACAGATGAATGCTACCAACTTTTTTGTAATATCTACAAGACATGCTGCTAAAATTTCATCCCTTTTATTACTTTTAAAAAAACAAAACACAAATTACCATGGATAACCCGTAAACTGTTATTCTTAACCAAACACAAGAGAAAGCTTTGGTTTCTCAATGTTAACAGCAAATGCAAAACCATTTCTCTGGTTAATGAGTACAAACAAACTTGAAATCTGGTAAAGAAAGCAACTCCTGATGCAATTCGTACCTATGAAATTAATTTATCTAATAACAAGAAACCCCCCCCCCCTCCAAATATTTTGCTTATATGAATAGCGAACCCTCTGTAAGCAACCAGATAGTGTCATTACAAACTATGACTGGTAAAATTAGTAACGACCAAGTTTTTATTGCCAACACACTAAACAAACAGTTTTCATCTATCTTTACCATTGAACCTTACAATCAAACTTTACCTTTTTATACTAAACAAACAGCTGTATCACTTCTTTACATCTCCTTTGATTATGAATCTGTATAAAGTCATCTCATTACTATCTCATCTCGTATCTATAGGTGAGGATCAGATAAGTCCTTACATACATAAGGCATGCTCTAACACAATAGCAACTCCACTAGCCATGATCTACCAAAAATCAATGGAACAAGGTATGTTACCAAAGGCATGGCTTGTAGCAAATGTGACTCTTTTGTTCAAAGGAGTTTCTAAAATGAATCCAAACAATTACAGGCCCATTTCCATTACTTCTGCGCCATGCAAAATAATGGAGAAGATAACTAAAGATAAGATAATGCAGCATCTACTGTCTCAAAATCTTATATCAAATTGTCAGCATGGTTTCATAAACAAAAAATCTTGTGTTACTAATTTACTTAAGACTATGGATTTTTTGATCTACAATATATCACATAAGCTCCCTGTTGACATTGTCTTCCTAGATTTTGCTAAGGTGTTTGACAAAGTTCCTCATACTAGATTGCTACAAAAGCTGAAATCCTATGGAATTGAAAGTAAAATTTTAAACTGAATTTATTTCAAAAAGAACTCAATGTGTCGAACTTGGAAATGTAACATCGGAATGGGAAAAAGTTACTAGTGGCGTTCCTCAAGCTCAGTTTTTGGTCCACTGCTTTTTACTATCTTCAATAATGATTTACCAGAACAAATTAGTAGCAATATATGCAAAATAAATGCAAACAACACAAAAATCCTTAGTGTGGTCAGCACTGAAGAACAAAAACTTTGTTTGCAAGCTGACATTGACAACATTGTTAATTTGGTTCAAGAATGGCTTATGGAAATTAATATTAAGAAATATAAAATAGTGCATTTCAACCAATCCAAATCTGTTCCACAACAATACTTTATTGATGACCATGGCTTAAACTACAGTCTCAACAGAATTCAACTTGAATCAACCTCATCAGAATGAGACATTAGTGTTTTAATTTCCAATGACCTATAGAAAAATCTCCAAACACCTACTGCTGCAGCCAAAGCTAACAAAATGCTTGGTATTCTAAAACAGCTTTTTAAGCAGAGATGCACTCTAGAAAAAGCTATATACAACTTATATACATCCACTTTTAGAACTTTTCATTACCGCTTGGTGTTATTGCATTTAAACTTAAATACAAACGCATTTATTTGTATTTCAGTTCGTGTCATTAAAATACTATTGTTAAAAATTGTTGTCAATTTCTTGCATGTAAAAACTCCAACTTTCACACAGAAAAAAAATGTTACAAAAAGTTCCAAAATCTATTTGGGATTCGAAAACGTCTAAATTAAGCAGAAAAAGTACTCTTTTTTGAATATCTTACAAAGTATAACTTTTAACTTTTACTGTTACATTCTACATCGAACAGTATGCAATTTAGTTTACATTTTTCTTTTTAAAGTTGCTTTTAAACTGTTGGTTTTTTATGGTTTTAAAAAGTGTTCTTGCAATCAAAAAATTTCATAGTATCAATATATATTTAAGAAATATTTTTTCATATTCTAATTAACCTTGTCTTCCAATTTATTAATCAGTTTTCCTTTTAAAATCCCACAAAAGTAAAATATGAGGTAACAAGAGAACTAAAGCTGTTTGGAATTAGGGACATGTGAGCAATAAAAACTGAATTTTTTAAATAATAATAAAAATAATATTAGGAATCAAATACATAAAAATTAACAATAAACTATGGAAATATAATACTATGGTACAGATAATATGGTATAGATATTAAAGTGGCTTTCGAAAATATAAAATCATATAAATTTTTTAGCTACTATTTAAATTATTTTTTAAAAAAGTAAAAAAAAAAAGAGAAATTAAAAAAAAAAATTTATTCAGAATACATTGTATAACTAAAGTTTTTTTTTTAAATATTTTAGTTTTGTACCAAAATCAATCAAGCAAGAGAATCAGGTCAAAAAATATCATTAAAAAAATGTATCAAAAATTAAAGGTTACACTTTAATTCATTATTTTACATGACCATCGTGTGCTTGTAAGCAGGCCAGAATATGTTTAGGCATATAATTTAATCAGAATATGATTTAATAAGAATATGATTTAATCAGATGCACACATTATTCCTTTAGAACTCCATTCCAAATTTTTTCCAGTGCAAGTTTTAATTGCACAATGTTTTTTACATTTTCTCTTCATAATTTCTTGTCCATTAATAAACAAATATTTTCAATGGGGCTTAGATCTGGTGATTATGCTAGTGGTAAGGATTTTAAGGAGATTTAAGGAGATATATTCCTAATATATAAGGAGATTTGGTCGAGATCAACAACTTTTTGAAAGAAAAAGTAAGGACAATATTTAAGGTTTTTTTTTTAAAGAAAGTTTAAAGTTTTTAAGGAGGAGTGGAAACTCTGCTAAACATCATTGGATTTACGGTATTTAAATTTATATCACCTACGTAATATGTATTGAACATACTCAATCTAAACAGCATAAACTTGTTTTTGTGACTTTTTGATATTTTGGTTTCTCAAGGAAATCAATAGCATTTTAGCTGGTTATCTCCCAAATAAATTTGCATGATGTAAATGACAATCAATAAAACGCTAATTGTTTATTAACTAAAATATTACAAAAGATTTTTAAGTATTTATCATTTCAAAAATTATTTAAGAGATCATTAAATAAATGTCAAGAAAAAATCGTTATTGATATTGGAGCAGTAGGAATAATAAGACAGATAAAAGAAAGTTAACCTTCAGTAACCTACTATATATGATATAATCAAAAGAAAATTTGATGTGTGAAACATATGTTGCAAGTAGCATAATCATGTTTTTTCAATTACTAATTCAATCTTCATTTATTCATTAAAAAAACAAACAAAGTATTTCATTCAGTATGATAGATTCTCTATCATATTGGGGATTGAACTTGGAAACTCTCGCTTATGAAGCGAGCGCTCTACCACTATACCACTACTACATCTACCGTTGAAGCTAATGATACTGTTGTTTATATGTTGTTCTTGATCAGTTCAGTTTTCATGTAGCTAGTAACTGTGACAGTGATTGGTTTGCATTAGTGAACTTTTTGAAAACCACTGTATAATATAAATCTGTTTTAAATATGTAACAATCAAATAATATAAATTTGTTTTAAATATGTAACAATCATATTATATAAATCTGTTTTAAATATGTAACAATCAAATAATATAAATCTGTTTTAAATATGTAATAAAATTACACTAACTTGGCACTTTATGAGTCTGTATATTTAACCAAGGAGTTGAGTAATATTTTGTCTAAAAAAATTACGGTTTGTTTTTAAATAATGTTTTTAATAAAAATTTGTCTCTCTTCAAAAAATGTAATAAAAAAATCTATACTTCATGTTCATTAGCTCTTTGCAAAATAGAGTAAATTTCACCATCTTGAAGCTTAACATTTTGTAAAACTTCATAAGAGCTGTTGTAGAAATTGCTATAAGCAATTTTAAATCGCCTGAATATTTTCCCATCACCAACAATAAAATTTTCATAATACATAAACTCAGAAGCATTAAATTCAGCTGCAAGGTATATGTCATTCTTCTCATCATAAGGATACAATTCAGATGGAGGTGGGTCTTTGTTAGTTATATTACCCTTGGATACAATTATTTGATAATACCTAAATAATAAAAAGAATAAAAAGTGTAACTAATAAAATAATATAATAAAACTTGAATTATAAAAATAAAGTAAAAATTTAAAAATTCACCATTATAAATATCTTAAATATTTGTGCATATGCTTTATTTCTTTATATATGTTTATAAATACACTTTATTGTTTATAGATAAATTTGAAATAAAAAGTCTTTTTTTATAAATAACCAAGATTTTTAAATGATTTTTTTGAAAATTACTACATAATAATTTTCCAATAAGAAACAGCCGCTGATTCAGAAATTTTATACAAAATTTAAGTTTTAAAGTGTATAAGTTTTTCCGAAATGGCCTCGAAAAAAAAAAAGTAATATTCTTCTAAATAAAGTTTTGATTTATTAGTAAGATTGCTTTGGTAATGAAAGTGGTTTGGACTCATCTGTAAGTGGTATTAGCAATGGTTTAATGGTAAAAGTAATGGAAAAAAAAGGAGTTGTTTGGAAGCAAAATTGTGCAAAACTTAACATAAATTTTTTTTTTTTTTCCTACTGTGATATACCTTACTGCAACGTAGCCTTACACTGCACTGCAGCAAAAAAAACTGTTACAAAACAGCATGGCTTAGATTTTCCTAAAAGTAATAAATTTAAGTGTTTATTTTTGAAGTATGATATGATTTTCAGAAAATTTTATTTTTGTAATATTATTTTCCTCCTTTTTTGGCTAATATACCTTAAAAAAAATGAACCACCTGCCATGCCATTATGTATAATATTATCTACAAAAATACTTTAAATTCTGATTGCCAATGTATTAGGCTTTAGTTCTTTAATATATATGTTTTACATTAGACTTCACCATAAACTTATAAATCTTTTATATAATGATAATGTTTTATGATAATGTTATTGGACAGGATCAATCTTAGTGGGAGGTTGTCCTTGTTGTGACAGTAGTCATACAGGTCTTGCAAAACTTTGATTGCAGGCATACAGCACTTGTTGCTTTGGGTTACTGGTAGATTGGAGATTTGTATGATTTCCAGTGGTTTTGCAAGCATCTGAGACTTTTTAGATTGTCAATGGCTGGCCCATGAGTAAGAAATGAGTGAACAATTTTACACAGCCTCTTATGGGTTTTAGGCATCAGAATATATGCAAAATAAGCTGTTTGGAATCTGTTGAAACTTTACAAAGGGTATCTCATTTATCTCAGTGTGATGCCAAAAAACATGCGAGATGGTAAAGAAACTTTATGTCATTTCTCCATACGCCTATTTCCTCAATCTTATTTTTACCATTGCTGAAGGCTGATTTCAATTTATTTTAATTGCTCATCGAATCCTTCACAAAGAAGTACTCAATGTTTGGTGATTTAGTCAATCCATTAAGTTCATCATATATGACAATGCCAAGAATGCGATCCAGCGTTTGTGGTAAACTATATCTTCAAACATTTGGTGCAGCCAAACAAAACTGTCTTTTTGCTTCTATTTACACTTGTTGTATTAGCAACAATCATCACAATTGATCTCCACAGGTTGAATTCCTCTAAAATATTGTGAAGTCCTTCTGCAATTGTTTGAGCTTTCCCATATTTCTATTTGAGTGCAGCCAACTTTATTTTTTTCTTTCTTTCTTGAGGACGACTGCCTGATATTTGAAGTTATCAATGTATTTGCTACCAAAGTGTATACTTCATTTCTCCAGTTGAAGAGTGTTCACCAGGTGTTTTTTCACCTAAGCAGCTCTTATGTATATAGCTTTGTATATTGCTGACTGGCATGGGGTTGGGACTTGATGACCTTGACAGAAAGCTGGCAGCGCACTTTTGGTGCTCTGTGAGAAGACAACTTCAAGATTGTAACAAGGCGTCTTGCAATGCGTGTTGAGTTATACTTCCATTTGCTTGTTGAAGCTGCAATCTCTTCATCCAAAGATTTTACTGTTTTCAAATGAGTTAGAGTCCATGCTACTTTCAGACAATCAGGTGGCACTGAGTTGGTAACTGTGGACAATGTTGTTGTGATTACTTTCTTTTGCTTGGATGGGTGGATGGTCTTAGCACTAACAGGTTTGCCAGTGGAACCAACCTGGCCTTTTTTTCAATTTGCATTTTATATCGGTTCTCACCTTCTATGCACAACTATTCGCCTTTAACCTTAGTGATTTCAAACAGCTCATTCAATGCATTAAAGTTTTGTTTCTTTCTGTGGCGCTCATAGTCTTTCAAAAGTTTTGCTAATTTTACACAAATTACTTGATCAGATACATTTGGAAAGTTCAATGTTATGCTATGTAGGGCTTTAAGCTCAACAACAGTTACACTGATTCTCTCTCTCTGTTATTTGGCAGTAGATTCAAGAAATTTGAATGACTTGGTTTTTATGGGGTATGTGTTCACAGTTATAGGTTTCTATATAAAACACAAATATTAATATAGCTCAAGTAACACAAGACCTTTTTTAATTAACCTATAATAGTGTTGACACAAAATTAAGATAATTTAAACTTAGCTATTTGCTTTGAACACCTCACTTATATATCAGTTTATACCACACTGCAAAATAGCTAAAGAAAGTTTTACAATACTTTAGGAGCTTCTCAAACACACAACGTTCTGTGATATTCTGAAAAATTCAAAACAATTCTCTCGAGGCAGACCAACCCCCCTAAAAAATTTCATCACCATGGGGGGGGGGGGGGGTAGTGTTGTAAAACGTTTTCCTTTAGAGTAAAAAATAAATATTTTGCTTGATTTTTATAACAAAACTTGAGTAAAACAAAGACTGCTTGGTACAAAAAGGGGAGTCAACTTTACCTAGCAACTCCCCCATGGTATGAGCCTCTCTGTAATAATATGAAGTATGTAAATTATTATACAAGTGAGTTAAATGACTAATATATATAAATATTATTGAAACAAATATATAATACACTAGAATGGCCTATATAACAGTTCAATTTGGTTTATGCATGACCTTTTTCAATATTTTATTGGAATAAAGGTCATTTTAGTAACTAATAGGCAAAAGTTCATCCGTTCTACCTTTTGCTATGCTACATGCTACTGGAAATGATTTTGGAGAAAAAAACTTTAAAATTTAACATCCTATTAGTCAAAGTGAAAAAATAGATGCATATTTAACAACTTAAATAAAAATTTTTTTATATACTTTGCTGTAAAAATTATCAAACATTCATTCATATTTTAATAACAAAATCCTTTTTAACAATTTTTCTAGAGAACATTCTAGAGTTCTTTCTTTTAGAGAACATTTGGTGCTTAAATAAATATCATGTATATCAGAAACAACAACTGTTGCTAATGATTGTTTCTCTGATGAATTTATATGAATTGATACAAAACTAGAGTTTAACTAAGAAAACTATTAATAAATTATCATAATTAAAACTTATAAATTATCATTATGCGGTATTGGTGTAGAGTTAAAACGCTTGCTTCATAAGCGAGAGGTTCCGAATTTTGATCCCTATCACATCCCTGGTAGTACTTCGCTCAACTTGTTTCTCCTTGCAGTGGCCTTGTTTGTCAAAATTTCGGAAACTTTATATGCATTTGAGAACTTTAAAAAGTAGTTTTGAAAAAGTTTTCAAGTTCATTAAGAAAATCCATAGCTCTTATATTAACAACACCAATGTTGACATTTCATCATCTTTGGAAAACCTACAAAAGTATCAATATTTTAAACTTTCTTTATATTGGAAAAATATCTGATTTAACCAAACAAAGATTAAACGTAACCATTAAAAGATATTGTAAATTGGTCACTGTAAAATTGGTTTTTACTTTATTTAAAATTTCAATTTTTTTCCACAAAAGATCCCTTTCCTACAGACTTAAATTCATTCCTTGTCTATAAATTTAAATGTGCAGGCTGTAAATCCTGTTATATTGGCGAAACTACTCGCCATTAAAAGACACGAATAATCGAGCACCAAAAAAGGGATAAAAATTCACACATTTATAAACTAATTCATTCAAATGAAAGCTGTTTTAATAGTTTTAATTATGCTAGTTTTTCAATTTTGGAGTTGGCCTCCAACAAATTTATATTAAAACTCAAAGAAAGCATGTACATAGAGTGGGAAAAACCCACTATTAATAAACAAATGAACCATGTAAAAATGACAATTTCAATCTAGTTCCTTATAACATTACCGGTTCTTTTATCTTTTTAAAATATTTATTACATTTTAATTGCATTTTTATTGTATTTTTATTATAAGGTCTCCATTAATTCAACTTAATTGTAATAAATTTATTTAAGCATTTTAATATATTTTAACTGATGATGGCTGATATATATTTACAAAATAAACGATTTTAACAAAAATTAAAAAATTTGTCTTATTATTAACACATTTTGTGCTGATAAGAAACTTTGGAAATATATATATATATATATATATATATACATATATATATATATATATATATATATATATATATATATATATATATATATATATATATATATATATATATATATATATATATATATATACATATATATATATATATATATATATACATATTTCAACATCTTCGCTTACAACAAGGCTGCAAGCAATCACTAATTAGTGTTGGGAGTTACTGGAAGAGAAAAGATAAAGGTTGTAGACCAAGATAACGATTGACAGATGAAAAAAAAGATTGAAAATTATATGAATCAGGAAAGCAAGATGAAGGAAGCGAATTCCAAAGAACTGATGTTCGAAGAAAAAAACTAGACAAATAAGAGTTTTTGGAGCACTTAGGAACAGTAACAGAAAAAGGATGAGACTTAATTGAATGACCAGTAACACGAGAATGAATTTTAGTAGATGGTACAAGAGACGCTAGCTCTTTAGAGCAGTGCCCATTATAGTATTTGTAGAAAAGAGAAAGAGAAGCAACATTACGACGACATGACAGAGGTTGAAGGTTGGCTGCAAGAGCAGGTCCAACTATGTTTACAATGTGTTATTGCACCTTGTCTAAAAGAGAAAGGGCATCATTAGAAGATCCACCCCAGATATGGCAACAGTATTCTTACAGAGATAGAGAATAGAATCCAGAGTAAGAAAGTGACGAGCTTGATAAAGAGAAGCAACTTTAGCAGATGCTAATTTTGCAGTGGATTTGATATAAGGTTTCCAAGAAAGATCAGAAGTGAGAGTTAATCCTAGAAGATGACCTATCGAGTACATTACCGTTCATAAACAAAGGAAGGTCTAAATTATTGTGATAATGATTGGCTGAAAAAAAATTGAGTTTTATCTGAATTAAAGTTCATCAGCCACTGTGAGCCCCATGCTGTAGCAGAGATTTTTTTCAAGCTCAAATGCCATCTGCAAGCAATCAGAGAGAGTTGGCTTGTTTCGTGACAAGAATTAATGGTAGTATCATCAGCGAACAATGCCACCTTAGATGTGAGAATATCTGGAAGATCGTTAATGTAAATTAAAAAAAGAATAGGGCCAAGGATTGAACCTTGAGGAACCCCTGAGGTTACAGAATAAGATGAAGAGTGCTGTCCATCAAGGACAACTTTTATACTACGATTGAAAAGAAAGGATTCAAAAATCTTAAAGATGTTTCCAGATACACTGTAAGAAGAAAGCTTATGGAGAAGACCAGCATGCCAAACTTTATCAAAATGCTTTAGAAATGTCAAGAGCAATGGCCTTAACCTCTCCACCTTAATCTAACGCAAACTAAAACCTATCGGTTATTGCTGTTAGCAAATCAGCCCTAGAATGAGAAGTTCGAAATCCATATTGATGATCAGAAAGTAGGTTATGAGATTCAAGATGAGAGATTAAGTGTTTGTTAATTAAAGATTCTTTGCTAATGATAGGAAGTGTGTTAATTAAAGATTCCTTGCTAATGATAGGAAGAAGACTAATGGGAGGGTAGTTAGATGAATCAGATTGCTCTCCAGAATTTGGATAACAATGATAAAAATCGGGATAACAGGTGGTGGAAAACAAGAAAATAACAGATAGCAGGCTGGAAAACAAGACTCTGATAAGCACTTGTTAAATAGTTTTGAAAGGATAGACGACAGCTCCGGAGAACTCTTCTGCAAGACTATGACAGGTATGTTGTCCAGGCCGCAAGCTATAGAAGAGTCTAAGCAGGAAATCACTTTAGATATAGAAGCTGGAGTGATATGGATGTCGAGCAATGGTCCAACCTGTTTGACAGCTATATCAGGTAGAGCGCAGTGGAGTCAAGAGATGATATTGATGAAAAGTTCTTAGCAAACAATTCAGCTTTATCTTTAGGTAAGGGGAAAAAGTCTGAACCATACAAAAGAGGTGGAATTACAGACTTGCCTTTATTATTAATACTATTAAAGATTCTCCAGAAGTCACGAGAGCCTAACTTTTGTGATAATATACAAGATTTCATGATCTGAGAATAGCAGCCTTTGGCATTAGACAAAACCTTTTTACAACGGTTCCTAGCAGTAATTAACAGACGTCTGTTTTCTGGAGAATTGTTTTGCTGATAGATATAGAAGTAATGGTTTCAATTGGCAATTGCAGCAGCGCAACGTGAGGAAAACCATGGAGAAGAGTGAGGCTTGACCTGGAATCGTTGAGAGGGAATAAAGGATTCCATGCCAGCCTGAATCCACGAAGTTATGTAAGAAGCCAATTTGTAATAGGAAGACGAAAGATTTCTACCCAAGAGCCATCATGAAGAAAATCACGGAAAGAGTCAGAGTCAGCTTCAAGGTAGTTGTAAGATGTAGGATGATAGGGGGATTCTCATGATAAAAAATAATGAGATAATAGTTTTAGAGAGGCCAAACCATGATCAGAGGCACCTAAGGGTGAGTGTGGAGAAACTGAACACTGACTAGGATCAGAAACAAGACATAAGTTGAGTAGAGAAGGTAAATGATTCGGGTTATCTGGAAAGCAAGTTGGAAAGTTGACTATTTGAGTTAGAGATTGAGAAAGGCAAAAGTTGTGGGCCTTAATGCCTGCAGAGTCACTGACACTAGAGCCAAGCCATTCAGTGTGATGAACATTAAAGTCACCGACAACAACAATATTGGCTGATGGATAAAGAGAGAAGAGTGCAGTCTTGAGATGAGGGAGAGTGATATAGAACAAAGAGAAAGGTGATAGAGTGAAGTGGTGCTAATCAAAAGCACATAAAAGAGTAGTCTGTGGATTCAAACCTAGTTTCCCGACAAAGCGGTGAATTCTTAGGAATGTAAATGCCCAGGCCAAGCATGTGACTATTGGAGTCTACGAATTAAAGGAAGATAACCATTAACACTAAGATCACAAGATGAGACAGCTGAACTCAAATTAGTCTCACAAAGACCAAGTAGGTCTGGTGAATTTTGCAAGAGATAAGACTCAACAGAAGAAAAGTTACTTTGAAGACCACGAATATTAGTGAATGATAGGTTTAGCGAACTTGGTGATGACTGTGGTTTTTTGTGTTTTATAGTTTTTGTTACTTTATTCATTTTTAAATTTGTTAAAGAACTTGTCTTGAAACATAGATAGTACTCAGTATGTTTTATAGCCCAAGCAATTACCTCATTTCTATTAATAAACCCTAAGCCGTAACAAAGGGCTCCAATGTGGCCTTGGAAATGCACACTAAAAGTACAAACAGGGACACCATCCATGCACAACATGGCACTGTTAGTACTTTGATATTTTTCAGCTGTTGATGGAATCAGCCTCTCTGAGAGCTACTAC